GGAAGAGAATTAACTCTATCCCAGCCGAAACCAGGACAGTCGCTAACTGATTTTCAACCCCATTTATTCAGGACTTTTTGAAAGAGGACACCCTACTACCTTAGGCTTTTGTGAGAAATGTAAACAAGGTGGCTAGGATCCTTTTTCAGCAGAACTGATTTATGACATTCTAACAGAAAATTCCAGCTATTAGTCAGCATAATTAGCCAAACTGAAAAACTTGCAAAGTGGTAAAAAAATCCCCGAACTTCCTCCATTCAGAAAGACTAATATTCACCTCTTGAAGAATATGTCTACTGTTAATAGAAAACAAAGTCTAAGAGGCTCTGATCTTGTTAGATTTCTCAGTTCCTCTTTTAAATTAAAAAAAAAAACAAAACAATAAAAATGTACAAGTGTAATTGCCCAGTAAGACTATACATAGACGAAATTTAAAACAGAAAAATGATTAGGTTAGGAACACAAGTAGCCATACATATTCCAACTTGGAAAGCTGGGATGGGGTATGGACAGGATCAGTACTAATACAGATGAAGATAGGTAGGAGACTATCTAAAAAGGATTAGATCTTTTCTCATGAAACAGACTGACCTAAGTAAAGGTACTTATTAGCCGTCCTAACTTAGAAGCCACCTCTGCAAACATTCCTTGGTTTCCCCTCATTTGTGTAGTGAATGTGAATGGCACGTATATGCCGCAAAACCAGAAACGACATTCCCCACATCCATATGGTCTCTGTTCTAGATCATTTTCAGCAATAAAAACATGGCTATTTTATAAGATATGGGAAACGCACTTAAAACTAGAGATTTTAAAATGAAAGTTCTGTCCAGGTTCAAACACTGAAATAGCTGAGTCAGTAAATACAAACCTAAACACAAAACTGAATTAGGAGGCTTTGAAGTTTACAAAGATAAATACAAGGAAATCATGACCAAGTTATACAATTACAGAGACTAAACCAGAAAGCAAATAGATTCACCTTTAATAAGATTATGTCCCTATTGTAAAAACGATACTTTGCTTAGAAAAAATAGGTTTTCTTTAAACTTTACATCTGATATTTTCAAGGTGATACAGTGGAGGGACTGGGGGAAGGAGGAAATAAAATTGGTAGTATTCACAAAACCTGAATGCTTAGAAGCAGCCTTGGCTTCTTATATCAAACAAAGAGACTATGACTATCCTCCCGATTTACCTTCTGCAAATATTTCCCAAATATGCTAAGAAATATCCCATTTTTCAAGGAAGATACTTTTCACACAAACAAAATGAATTTAAACATAGTTGGCTGAAAATATCGCATTTCTCAATGTGCTTTACCTTGCTTCATTAGGACCAACTGAACAACTTAGAGAAAACAGGCTTGCATCCTTCTGCTTCAGGTAGGTCACCCACAGTCAAAAAACATTTATAGAACTGTGGTAGCTGAAAAAATCTTTGAGTCTTGCTATGCATGCAGCAGTATCCACTCTGAATGCTAGTGTTAAAACTGAACAGATTTCGGTCCTCCTTCAACTTTTATGCTCCAACACAAAAAACCCCACCACTTACTCTTATCACAGTGAACACTTCTACACCTTATCTGGCATTAATATGATTTTATTCTTCCTGAAAAATCTTGTATCTTCCTATCATAAACCTATGAAGGTCAATTTCTAAAGCACTCAACATCACCTATGGCTCTTAGAGCTCAGTAAATATGATTCTGCATATGTTCCTGTGGGTGACATGCTGAATACATGCTGAAAGAAGTCAGATTTTTATGGATTAAAGAGAATAGCAAACTATGACATGATGCTCAAAAGCAACACACATCATCAATAAATGAACTTAGCATTTAGTAACCTTCTCCTTTAAAAGCAACTCTTAAAAAACTGCATCCAGATAAACAAGCTTTGTACAGGTTCACTAAATATATATGGCACCATTATTACTCAGAAAGGTAACCGATTAGAAGACATATGCTTGTGAGTAGCTTCAAGCCCCCAGAATGCAAAGTGAAAAAGAGCTGTTTCAAGTTTCCACCAGAGTGCTAAACCAGGCACTACCACTGAATCAGAGACTTAGGCCATAGCAGATCAGTGTGAAAGAAGAGAATTCCTTAATAGCATTATTCACTATTTCTATTCACGCCAAAAGTTATGCTGTGTATAAACAGGTATGGAAGTGAGCCAGGCACAGGTGCCCTGGTAGCACAAAGGTAACTTATTTCAGTTTTACATGTAAAAATGCTGTCATATGGATCTGGAAATCTTGCAAGCTATCCCGTTTTCACTGTATACAGAACCTCATGCGTTTAGAAAGAGTTGCTGTTCTAAAATGAAAGTAAGGTGCTTTACATCAACATTTTTTTTTTATTTCTTCCGTTATTAAAAACAGCAATAAAAGAATTCAATCCCTACCACATGAATCCTAATCTGATGCAATCTACATATCAATACAGATCTGGTGGCTATGTGCTGAAGAAGCTTTCAAACAGCTATAGCAGATCTTTTTTTTTTTAATGTTATTTCCCACCTCCCCAGATTTTCTATTGGTTTGGGGGAATTCTGTAATTTCATACCTGTTTAATTCAATCTCCAATTTTTTTTTAATTATTATTTTAGTATTAAGAAATAAACTTAAAAACACACTTAAAAACCTAACACTGTTTTCTTTTAAATAAACAGTTGTGGATTTTAGGATTTAGGCATTAAGACTGAAAATCCTGAACTTGCACTTAAAGTAGTCAATGCAAGGTGAATGGTACAAGAACAAGATACGTGTGTCTGAGTTCGTTACCTGCTGACTTACTTCAACTTCTCATCAACAGACTGGTTTTTTACAGATATTCAGGTTGTTACAGTATTCCAAGAAATTTATAAATGAGTTCTGGACAAAAGTTTCAAGAAAATATATTTATTCAATTTTAGCAGAGGAAGAAAATGTAATAAATATAACAATTTCTTACACCCTTCTTTACAAGATATTTTTACGTTCACACATCACACTTCTGTTACAAATTTCAACGAGTATTTCAAATTTTAAAAGACCACATTCACTGAAAAAGGCAAGAACTTTTAAAGTTGAAAAATACACATATCAAAGAGTGCAAATGTTTTCTTTCTCGTGGCTAGTGCTAAGTGTTCCAAGTCCTTTAGAATACTGCAAGATATGTATTAGATCAGCAATATTGCCAGCATCCAATTAGCAGGTGCAACTATTACATTACCTGAACAATAAAGATTGTAATTTTTCATGGTACAACCTTGATTTGTTTCTCAAATAACATGAAAAAAGACTTTCAAATTTCTGCAGTTATGACAACACCAGTTTTTTTACAAATCCCACACTCAAGTCCTCAGCTGAGGCAAAATGGATCTAAGCTTGAACCTCCTCAGAACAAGGTAACTACCAGGCAAGTACAATTCCCATTCTGACACGTTTATACAGTTCTTCAGAGTGCAACTGATACTTTCTTGACAGAAGCAGATGCAATTCCATTGGGATTTTTATTTCCATAAACTGGAATTAGGACAGCAATCCCTTAGATTCTGTAGGATGCCTGCAGCTGTGTTTTAACAGCTATCAGGTTTTGTTAATTTTCTACGTACCATCTATTCAAACCAGTTTTCTTTCAGTAAAAAATGTACAGCATCATCAAATCCATTTTGGTACAACAATTCCATTTTCTCCTGGTTTGGTGGGAACAAAGCTTGATTAAGTCTTACTAGGTTGGCCAGAGACAGCTGCAACAGAGCGAGAAGCTATAAATTAGTTTATTAAAGCAACTTATCTAGACTTGACTTTGTTGCTGTCTGTTTTGTCATCTGTTTCATGTAGCATATGTAAAAACAAAAGACCAGCATGGCTATGTCTACACTAGTAAATTAACCATGTCCAGGTACACTGCTGAGCACCAAGACAAACTGGCACAAACGGTCTGCATATATACTACTAAACTCACAGCCTCCAAGACAGACTGCCTGTAAGACTGCCCAAAGTTTCTGAAACGTTTTAACTTCAGAAACATTCCCAGAACTGCCTGGCAGAGTGGTAGCTGGCAGATGCTAAGCTTGTGCAAGGAAATATTTTGACAGCTTGCTAGTGCAAACAGCCACATTCTTGGGAACATTCCCTGGCAACGTTTAACACGTGAGTATAAATATAGCTTGTGTTACCAACAAATTAAGAACTACTCAGCATCTCAAGTGGTCACTTTGATGGTGTAGAGAGATTTCAGAACTCTATACTTGAATAAAGACATTATTAAATTGTTCACAACAAAATTAAAAATATAATTAGATTTAATAAAGTTCTGAACACTTAATCTACATGATTAATACTTTAGCCACCTACTTTATTATAGACAATTTTGAAAAACAATATCAAAATCATCTTCATTATTTGAAGTAAGCAATTATTCAAATTGACACTAATAGATGCATGAGGTTTAAAGAGACAGAAAACTATTCACATTCTAATCCAGATAAAATGAAGATATACAACTCTTCGTTTTATGGAGATTACAATATTGCTGAAAAAAAATTATTCTTAGTTCACATTTTTACAGCTCTAAAAGCTAAGGGTGCTTCAAATGGAATAGTTTAAAATGTTGCCAGAGATTCTACACAAGTCTGCACTTGTAGGACCCCAGAAGACCTGTAACTCTGCAATTAATTTTCTGTCTCTAAACTGATCACCAGCTCATTCTTCCTCCTCTAGATGCACTAGATATTAGACAAAAATCACAATCAAGAAATATACAGTAAGCGATTGCATACCTTTTCAATATATATGAAATCCATAATCTCATGCTTTATGATCATTTACCAAGTACTATGACTAAAATCTCTCTGTGTAACATTATAAAGATTCAGAAATAGGACCAATTTAGGATTACGTTACTCAAATTAGAAAACATATTAAGAACTGTCTAAAAGAAACTTTTAAAAACAAAGTACCAGTTATTGCTAATCTTTATTTCTTCTTTCTAATGGAGTTTTGTTGACAGCTAGGTCTACTGCTATTCAATATTTTCTTTCATCATGTCAAAGGAAGCAATACTGTGCTTAAAGTTTGTGAGACAGAGCTTGCAAAGACAGAAGTGTCAACGATGAAAAGGAGGCCATAAAAATCAGTCTTAGCCTATATTTCAATATACAGAAATGTTTCTGTAACACCTAACAAAATAACTTATGGAAAAATGTGGTTACAAACATTCAAAATCTTAACACGAGCTCTCTCAAGCAATGAGGTGACAAGTCACTGTATACCATTTGGAATGTATGACAAACTTGTATTTTAAATTCAGTCAGAGCAGCCGATTTTAATAAGTATGAAGGGATATTCTGCTGTTTCCCTCTCCTGAGGTATTCTACAGAAGTCATCTTTTTTTTTTTTCCTATGAACACTCTTGCCTAGCCAGACAGATGATACTTAAAGCAAACCTAGATTATTTACATATAAAAGACTGTGATAATTTGCTCTATTTTGTATTAGATCAATGCTTTTCAACCTTTATGACAAAATTTATTCTACATTTTCCTTCCCTTGTGTTTAAGAAAAAGTTTACACTCCATTTGCAAAACAGAAAATGCCGAAACATTACGTAAGTTGATCTATACATAGAAAATAAACACTTAAAAATAAGCAGAACCTTAACTGCTCAACTACCTTTTCTTCTTCTGAAGTTATTTAATAAACAAGCAACTCACCATTATATCTTGTTTTGCAAATTTAACATAAAGATCCACACGTCCTTTATCTTGTGGACAGATATCTAATCGACCGCTGAAAGGAGAAATCGTCACAGTTCTTCCAACAGGCAAGATAGGAAGGCCATTGGTAAGGCCACCATCAACCCACTTCTATTAGAAAACAAAAATATTTTCAAAGTAACCTTAGTACAGTATGTTCGTAACTGAATACTTCATCCTTCCTGTCCCTGCCTCCTCTACGCCACCCTCAAGAAAACTTGCAGGTTTCCTTCTCAGAATACCATGAATTAGCTTGAGTATGAGGCATAAAAATCAAGGAACTGACAATGTACACACAGTGTTTAATCAATGAGCATTTGACATAATGTGTAAATATGTGTGTAATATATTTATCAAGCTATTGATATGGCTTTCTAGTTGATCTAACAACAAAATGCCCCATAGAATTTTTCTCAACACATACATGAAAAGATAAGATTGTTAACCATATCAGATAAAGTATAATCCTCTAAAACATTACTCTGAGTCAAATTAGGAGCTGGACAATCTGCATGTGCAGGTAAACTGACTTCCCAAGCTAAACCAAATGTGACTTTTCTCTTATTCCAGAGCCTCGTGTCTTCTTACATATACAACACAAGACAGCAATAGCTGGAAAGTGGAGGGTAAAGGTGGGAAGGAGCTGAACAACTACGGCACATAAGAGGGAGCAGACATCAAGTCTGCTACAGGAGTTGAGTATGGGAAAGAATGAGGAAGAAAAAACAAAAGCAACCGATTAATTTCTTGCAGAGCCCCACATATTTCTTGGTTCTAAAGGCAGTCTAGGGGCACAAGCCTGATCTTCACAGGGACCATAGCCAAATTCCATCCCAGTATAAGCAGGGACAGCTATGACATCTCTTTCCAATATGTTTTATACATTCATATTTCTTACTGTGCTTATATGCATAACCCAAAACTCAACACCAGTCTACTGGCTAGATGCATTCACTGACATCATACATAAGGTCTGGTGATCAGATGCATCTCACCGAATTTATGTATCTACAGCCAAATTAGTCATTCTACACTTCCTTTATCGTCAAGGGAGAGAAAACACTTCTAGCACATGATCCACCTTATCCTAAAGTAGGCATTTACATCTGATTTGAATTGTGCTGAAAAAGTACTTTCTTCTCCACTAATTATAAAGGAAACATACATTAACTTTGTAAGATGTAGACTACTGCAGACAGCTAAAGCTAGTCAAGTTGAAATGCTGATTATAAGACTCCAGTGTTTCTTAAGGGTTTGACCTGCCCAAAGATAAACTGAGTACTTCAGGAGATCAGCTTCAAGTTTCATTAACACACAACACTACAAATGGCAAATGGTACCAGTACTCTTTAGCACCAGTCCTCTTTAGCACCAGTCAGGCAGGAGACTGCTCTTCTGCCTATAGGTGATACTATATGTGACCATTATGAAACAGCAAAATTACTGAAAATGCCACAGGAATTTAGTCACAAAATTAAAAAAAAAGATCTCCCACAAAAAGTATACTATTGGGAAGCTGTTTATGACATCTAAATTAAACTTGTCTTCAAACTGTTGGCAAAACACTAGCTTTCAATGCAGTGACTGCTATACAGGAAGCATTATCTCAGGTTACAGTGTTTGTTTTTCAGAAGCCCCTGAGATTCTCTGAGGTCTGTCACTTGGTTGTATAGATCCCTCTCAGCTGTGTCATTTACCCTCACTGAAAGCAAAACTCCCTTTAATTCTATAGGTATAGATTTCTCCCAGTGCCACATTTGAGTTCATGCAACCAAAAGACTCTGTCGTCACTTGCCCCTCCTTCCACTGTCAACTCTCATATCTGACAATATACAGATTTGCTCTTTTAGACATGGATATATAGCAAGCACCATTTGGGGGGGGGAGAGGTTGCTTTGTCCCTCCACCCTGCCCCCTTCTTCACTTTCTCAGATGGAATTTGCCATTTCACACTTCTTTAAGCTCCTGAGCTTAAAATATAAGCTAGAAATACTCACATTCAATAGCCTCTATAGACCTTCTCACCCTATTACTTCATAACATGCTTTAGAGCTTGCCTCTTGACATTGGCTCTTGATGTCAGTACCCACAAACCACCATTGAATTCCTTCACTTTCCACAAAAATCATATTTCTCAATGCTTAGGATTAAGACTGATTTGCCTTAGAAAAGGAGATAAAAAAAAAATTTCCAAAGCCATTTAAAGCTATCTTTCAGACTTCTCAAACTCTATTACACAACTGTTGCAATAACTGTGAGCAAAGCTGCAACATACCTTTACATTTCTAACACCAAGGCTTTTTTTTCTGTGTGTCTATAAATAGTCATTTATTATTGATTTATATGCAATGTTCCTTGGAGTACTAAGCGGCTTTTTGTTGCAATTCCTACAGTGACAAGAACAGTGGAGTCCCTGTCTAAGCCAAGTCAAAGACACCATAACAGACGACATTAACAATGTCTTTCACAAGTCTCGCTTAGTACTTTTACCACTTAAAAAGTTCTCCCACTTTTAAAAATTCTGATTATTTAGGTTTTTTCCTCTCTCCTCTTATGTAACTTCAGTATTTATTCAAAAGTCAAAATATTTACCAAGGCAAGGGCAATACTTTTCATTAAGCACTATCTTTTGTAGATTCTGTTACTCCTGGCTGACATGCCCTCTGTCATTTTATTTTCTTTCAAACATTTGGGAGAAACTGCTTCTTGGTCAAAAATATTTCGGCTTCACAGTCCCTCATGTTACATAGTTAAAATGAAACATTTATATGCTGCAAATAAAGAGATATAATCCCCCAGATTATTTTAATTCCATTGAATTGAAAAATGCTTCTTAGCTGATAAGGCAAATTCCTGGTAACTTCTGAATTAGTTTATTTTTTGTAAGTAGAGTGCAAAGACAGAGAAAGTTCTAAAATAATGTGCAATGAAAACCAAACCAGACAATGAAATTAAGGATGTGGGGTAGACCTAACAAGAATCTACTCATTTACCAGTAGACGGTTTTTACAAAGCTGTTCTGTAAGAACTACAGTGACACAAACTACAGCCTCATCATCAGATACAGTCAACTCAATCATCTGCGGATCTTTATCTGTCTTAAAGATTAAACTTGCCAGAGATTCAGAGGACACCAAACCAACTCAAAAAAAGATAATTTTACATGGAGCAAGTATGCCCTGCTGTTACGGGAAGACTAGTCCAGGGACACCTTAAATACCCAACCCAGGTAAAAAAGCTAGTTGAGGCCATTAACAGACTATAAATTCTCAGATGTTATTTTACATTCCCCTTTCCTTCAGATTATTTTTAGGCTCACCAAACCAGAAGAAAAGATACTATGAACAGACTGACATTATGCCTATGCTACCATGCAATTCAGCTTATTTACCCCGAAAGTCTAGCCTCCAAGCATGCATACTTACAGGTATGCTAGCTAATTCCAGTGTGAGCCAAATACTTTCCAAAAAGCAACAGATTTGGCTATTTTCTGATACTATTCCAGCAAAACTGCACCATACTCCCTCATGTATCATGCAACATGTACCTCAGATAACATACTGAAATACATTTCAAAAACACTCCCAGATGACCTAGTGATATAGTGATATGTATGCAAGTGACATATGTAGCCCAGAGAAGATCCAGACCAACTGTTCTGAAGCACAGATAAGACTTGAGCAGCTAGCAGGGAGTAAGCTCAATTCCATGCTGCCACGGACCATACGGCCTAAGGAATTTACTCCCTGAAAATAGTGTAAATGCAGACAGACAGAAGTTTGGTCTATTACAGTAAAGCTTTCAGGGAACTTGGAATATGATGCTAATACGATAGGTGGCCTCGGAGAGCCAAACCAATATCTAGTCCATCTTGCTGACTTCGGTGCTTACCATGTCTGGATCATGAGGTTACATGCCATGTATCTGGCTCTACACTGCATGCTTTAGGGCCCCTATTACCCACCCACATATCCTCATTACCCACTACGCCAAGCCATGGAAATACTATTGCAATAGAAATCCTACAGTCTTTGCTCTCACCCTGCTCTAAGTGTTTTGGACTAAAGAATGGAAGTCACATTCATTTATGGGCAACAATTTTCTCAAACACCAAAAACCTCTCCAAACCACAAATTCACTTTACAGAGTATGAGAAAAGTCAGTGCAGACATGCAGAACTAATCATTCCAAAAAATAACAATAAACGAAAGCAACCTTCTTCTCAGAAACTGCCTTTTCTGAATCTCACTTAAAGAGAGTAGTAAGAAGCTTTGGGAACGACAACAAGCTTTCAGGTAAGAGAAGAACCACATTCCGTGAAACATTCCTTGATTTCACTTCTGAATTCAAAAAAATAAAGTTGGACAGAAACGAGAACTGTCCACTAAGAAGCCGCTGCAGGTGTTTCAGTAAATACTACAATACTCAGGCAAATCATAATCGCAGTGTTCATCCAGCAAAATGCGTTTTAAATAAGTTGTGGACAAAACTCTAAGCCAACTTTTCACTTTCTTAATTGAAAGAACACAAGAAATTTAACAAAGACACTTCCTTCCCTTTAACTAATGGCAGAATGAACCTAAAACAACGCTGCATGCCCCTTCAGCTCCACAAGCAACATATAAAAAGACTCCAATCAGCAAAATTTCAAGACCCTGGGAAGCTGCAAGCAGTCTCCATTTAACACAAGCAGTCAGGCAATACTGATTTAAACCCTTCAAACATTTTAGCTGGTATGTATTGCTGTATACATAATTCTAAAGCTGACAAGCTTTCTGACATAACAAACTCCAACTCCCTGTTGCTAGAGACAAATGCATATGGTTTTGTGGGTTTTTTTTGGCAAGGTGACTGTGAGGATCGGATCATAGGTGTTCTAAAGGCACCATTTGAATGCGTATGAGGAAATAAAGGAAAGAGTATCATGTAGTATTTCTCAGAAAGAAAAAATGTCTATTTGCATGCTTCTAGTAATTACAAACAGACTAAACAGTCAAAATTATATAAATATATGAATATTTTAAGAATAAGAAAGACAAAAAAGTTCCTGAAGCTAAACCAAGAACAGGCAACCGTGAAAAGGTTTTCTTATAGTAGTGTACACCTCTGAAAACTGCATAGCCGTGTGCTATAGGGGAAAAAAAAAGTTTACTCTTTAATGTTTGTCCAGGGGTAAGAGATTTGAAGGTGCCTGGTAAGCATGTTCTCATGTTCTGTACAGAATTACAACACATACGTAGACACACACAGGTACTCCACCAGTGTCCAAGCTGCCAAGATCTCCCTTATCATTCCTTCTATTAAACAGAAAAGCAGAATGGTGGTCCCTTTAATTGCAAAAAATATTTTAGAGTTGGTAACACAGCTTGTCATGAGGAGCATCTTTACTACAAGAAGCTGCTTGTCATGGTAAGCATTAGACATTATCTTTAGCAAACAGCTTCATGCTACAGGGATCATTTCAGTCTCAGCACCCACAATTTTTGAAACAACACATGAACAGACTCATGTCATCTTTCATGGTGTTAATTTACAGTATCAACAGAAACAGTAACTATTCTACAAAACACAGTACTGTAATTCCCACTCACCCTTCCCCCAAGATCAAATAATTACATCATAAATGAAGAATACTCTTACAAAAAAATAAAAGTTGATAGTTAAACGTAATGAAAAATTACCTCTCCTTTATATTCCATGGGCTTAATTCCTGCATATACTGGTACAAAACTACTTGCTAGCAGGACCTAGACAAAAGAAAGAAGAGAGAACAGAAGTGAACAAAAGGTAACAAAGTAATTCTGAGCCAATACATATTTTCATACATATTTATCTGTATTAAATAATATAACAGTAACCAGTTAATATATTAGTTTTTCATAAAACCACTGTCATCTCAAAATGTCTTCTTGTTGTGGTATGTCAAAATGTGATTAAAACTGTTCAGTAGGGTTTGGGGTTTTTTTATGATTTAACAGTGACAACCCTCAAAACAAAGTATCACAAATTAACTCATTGATTAATGTGATTCTAAACCAGTATGAACTTAGTCTTACACAATGTGAAGTAAATCTGTGATTTTGCAGAAACTAAGTATGTATATGCTGAAAAAAATACCATAAGAGTATTGTCAAAGAAGCAGCTGACCCCAACCATTCTGCTGGCATGTAAATATAGTGTTTACTCTTCTAATAAATCTGATTTTCTAAGAATTAAAAATTTCCAAAATACTACAAACAGCCTGAAATTAAAATGTGTATCTTTATCCTTATCAATACTTTGCATTTAATACATTCAAGTATTAACAAATTACTACTTATCCTATTGCAAGCCTACATTGCTGTCTACAGCAGTTCTCAATTTCTATTTTTTTTTTTAGACCAGGACACCTCTTCTGTCATGTACAGATGTGCACACACACATACCTTTCTATCCACTCATAGTAATATCTATGAGTGTGTGTGTGTGTGTATCTCTACACCCATGCATTCACCCATATCTGCAATTAGTATACAGCATTTCAAAGAGAAGGGGTAGATGTGTGGATGAAGTGCAGTATGTCAGAAATTTTCACATAGCTAAATGTGCTTGCATGGTAGCATGAGAAACAAATCTGGGGAACAGAAGCAAGTTACAGACTGGAGCATATACTACATGAAAGATGATCAGGTGCAAAAAAACTCACGGAGATTACGGAAGAAAATGCCTGAGCTTTTCTTGGTGGAATTAAATTTATTTTTACAATACATTAAACTACTTTCAGTATTAAACACCCCTCCTCCCCTAACAAGTTATAATTAAGACTCTATATGAAGTCTTTAACTTCCACTTTGAGAACTCTTTTCTGGCCTTTTTCTCTTCCCAGTGATCTAAAGCACCACAGCTTTGTCTGAGCTCAGATAAAAAGGCTTTCTCTTCTTATTTTCCAAATATGAAATTGTAGCTATTTCACTAACAGACAGGCCTTTCCCTCACAAAAGCGTAAGATAAGGTCCCCCTTGAAACCGCTACTCTCCAGATTTTCAAAAGTGACATCCTGCAGGGTTCCCAAGTTCCCAACGTCATCAGCTTCTTCCCCTGCCCAACTCCCTTTCTCCTCTCTCCTTCAACTCCATCTCAGTAACTTTGGCCCTTCTAAACCAAGAGAAATGGGAACAAAAGGTTTAGTGAAGGAAAAAGAGTCAAAACCAGGTGACCCCTGCAGAGTGTGAATTCTTTTCAAGACGACTGAAGAAAGCAGTTGGCCTTCCTTATGAAGTCACTTAGATCTCAAGAGTGAGGCAAGGAAGGACAAGTTTGAAGAACTAACGCTTGCAGTATTTCCTTACCACTAACAGACCAGCGTGGACTCCTATTCACTGTTCCCACCTTTCCAAACTCAATACAACAGTGTTCTGTGCCCTGCTCCCTCACAAACATACAAATCATGCCTCTCTTCTCCCTCACCTCCAGTTTAAGAACCGCAAGTCTAGGAATGCTGGTACATGATGATTGCCTTCACATATGTAAAGACTATTTCAAAACTGGGAGATTATTAACTGCCTTTCCATGTCCACTGGGAACAGTAAAAGAAAATAAAAGCTTAAAACTGTAGCAACATATATTCAGTTTAGCCATTATGAAAAACTTTGGAACCATGAAACTTGTTAAGCATTGAAACCAACTGCATATGGAAGTTGAAAGATTTCTGGCAGAGGGTAGGGAAATCTTGCTGTTATAAACCACCATTTGCCCAGCATTGTCTTTATCCATGCCTCGGATATAGTAGATCATGTCTAGGAAAGGCATAATACGATGATATAACCTAACAAGCTCTACCCTCCATGCTACCAGGGCAGCCATCAATGTTCAGACTGTTGTATGAGTGATACATGGATAGCTGAAGGCATGCACAACAACATGTATGACGATGCACTGAAAGAACAGACAATATGAATGTATTCCAATGAGTGATTATTTGGAATTTGATTACTGTTATTCCAACCCATTCCACTGCTAGCATATGGAACAAAAGAACAGAACAGAAATGGTTAAGTCAATGAAGGACCTACTGAAATACTAATAAAATATACGTATTTCCAAGGTCGCCTTGAAGCTTTTAATTGCCTTCAGGTTGGAAGATTTCACTGAAAAATCCATAAACTTACAGAATAATAATCTTCATGCTTGTCACTGCTGGCTACCATAGCTAGAAATAACACTGCATAATTTGAGATAAACTTTTTGGCATAATTATCTTTGCATGACGAAGTACTACAAATTTTGAGAACTGGTTGACCGTGTAGAATATAACAGGGTCAAGATTTTTAAAAATGATGCCTTTAAAGCAAACTTCCAATGCATACTTTGAGATTTTGTTAACAAGCGTCATTATTTTTGTTTAAGTGTTAATTATAAGGGATCTCTTATTTAATCTAAGCATCCACAAGGACAGGGAAAG